ACATCAGAAAGTTTTGATAACTCTTACAATTTAGTATCAAAAAATCCCATTTTCGACGCGCTTTAATTTGGTAGAAAGTTAGTTATGTGTGCTATTTGAAACTATAGTGTTACGCGCCTGGAAAAGCATTTTTACGCACCCTGTATATATATATATATACAATAAATATTCAGAAATAGTGAACAAAAGAAATGATCGCCGAAATAAAACTTAGAAATGAAGATGATTGAAAAAGCATTGGACAATCTTCGTATAGAAGAACTTCATATCGATGATCTCAGGTTGTCGCAATGAGATACACAACCCTAAATTCTCTATCTAATGGTAGTAAATAGTTTACTTCTGGCATTGACTTTGACAAGCGAAGGCTTTACAAAAATCAGTAGGCGTCAACAGAGAATATGAAATCGTAATTGAATGACGAAGTAAACGTAAATCTTTTAAGTTTGATGTTGACAAAGTTAAATTTGTTTGAAAAAAAATAAAGGCAATAGTTTTGTACAACATGAAATTCTATATCTTTTGACATATAAAAGAAAATTTTTTATGCTTATGAAAGACACTAAGATTTAGTACAATTCTTTTTCTGGAACATTCATTAATAATTTTACATACTTATTGAATTGTTTCGATTATATTCATATTTTTTTATTTTAATTGAATTTTTATTATTATCAAATGATTTATCATTTGAATTTATATTCAATGATGATAATAAAGTACCATTAAATGTTAAACAATTATCATTTGTTATTTTTTTATATTGATCATTTTTTTTACCAGACCAATATGCTTCTTGTTGTAGTGATAAATTACCTTGATATGTTACTTTTATATAAGGTAATAATGTTGATGAATTATGATCACAATATGTATAGAATAAATAAGCCATTAATGAAATATAATATTTTGCTAAATCACGAACCTTTTTGTTTTAACAAAAAAAAAAACAACAAAAGCGATAATATTAAATCAATAGATAAACTTACATGAGCCATAGCACAATATTTATTCTCAAGTATAGCATGATAATCACATGCACGAGAATGAAGTACAGGTTGTTGAGGAGTTTTACTAAAGACAAAAAAGAAAGACATCGTTATTATTATTATTATTATTTCGATAATTAAAATATAAACCCCATTAACACGCCAAGATCACATTTAAATTGAACTTGATTATAGAAATTTTCACAAATAACAGCAATTAATGCTTCAATTGGATATAATGTATAATCATCATTACGATCTCGTGTTGATGGTTGATCATAAAGCCAATCAAGTGCAGCTTTTGTTGACCAAAATGATTCCATTGTACAAAACATTGGCATTGGTTCATTATGAATTTTATTACGAAAATCACATAATGAATCAAGCATTTCATTTAAATCATCTAATAATTGATTATAATCTTGTGTACCAATTTTTTCATATGGGGTACATGGTAAACCTAAAATGAATCAGAAAAAGAAAAATAAATATCGTAAGGAAAAATACAATACAATAGAATTTATTCTTTATCATTGATTTAAAATAAACAAATACAAATATTGTCTTTTTCTTTTCTCATAAAAAACTCAATTGTTAAAATTATGATTTTCTTCAAACTAAAGACAATATGATCTGTACAATTTATTAAGATAGTAACTGTTAATCTAATTTCAAAATATAACGATGAAGATATTTTAGTTAAGGTAATCTTTTGAGAAGTAAGTTATACTGAACACATCGAATAAAAAACGTCCGTCTCGCTTGTTTTTCTCTATCAAAATAACTCGTTTTGATGAAACAAGGGCAGAAAAAAAATGAAAAAATAAATAAAATATTTTCAAACCATGAGTTCGTCTTGAATGTTCGAGAATATCTGCTTGATAACCAGTTGGTAATTGATCACCTGGATGAACAAAATCATGAAAATCATCCGTAATTAAACAAAAACGTTTTGATAAATTTGAATGACGTTCATAATGTTCATTAATTTTTTTTGTTATATTCATTGATTGTACATCAATATTACTTTCATATAATTGTGGCCAAAATGTTGTTTCAACAAGAGCTATTTCAGCTGGTATAGCAAAATAATCAATATGACAATATGTATTAATATGTAATAAATAAATTGGACAAAATGGCCAACGATGATGAATTATTTGTTCTTGAATTTGTGCACAACTTTCGCTAAATAAAGCTTCATATTGTTTTGTATCACGATATGATGCACTTGTTATTGATGGTCGAAGTGGGGATATATTTTTTGATAGAATAGGAAATAGAATACGTTTAAATTCCCTATTATTATTATTATTATTATTATTATTATTATTAATATCATTTTCAATATTTGACAAAGATGAAAGACGACTTGAAGAATGCATCTTTTTTTTTTTAAAATTTTTATCGTAAACAAAAAAAAATCTGAAAGTATTGGAGATAAAGACTTATGCAATTTATCTAATTGATTAATAAGTGTATCTTATTGATTAAGTGTGTGATAGAGAGGATTAATAAGTATTACTGTTTTTGTGTAGTAGGATAACTGTTCGCTCCATTCGAATAATAATATTTTATCGAATGATGTCGCTCGAAGACGAAATTTCACTAATCAATGGTCTTGTCGTTATTCTCTCTCGATTCTTGTTTTTTCGTGACTTTGAGGCAAGATTCTTGTCTGAGAAAAAAAAACAGACCTTGACTTTTTGGCTAGATTCACGCAGATCTAATCTTGGTTGATTAGGCAAAAACTGTTGCACCGGTAAGATCTTCTGTTCTTTCCTGATCCGTGTGGTTCAGGTATAGTCCTTTTATAAGTTCACATGATTATCTTCTCTCGTTATTGTTTTGTATTCACTATAGGCTACTAGTAAAATACATGAATAAGTAAAATATAAGTACAATAAGAAGTGATGAAGAACATTTACAATGGTAAATAAAAAGAACAAAACAAAACATAATTTTACAGTCAGACTGTAAATCTAACAAGTTTACCATTAGAAAAAAAAATGGGAAACAAATAATCGCAGCAATCTATATACCATTAAAAATACGTAACTTTTGTAGTGCGTCGTTTTCATTTTTATCATCTGGAACTGATAAATATTCAATTATTGTCGAAGTTCTTCGTCTTGATAGAATTATTCTTGATTAATTGAATAACTCTTGTGCATTAAGTTGAATACGATTAATAGGCATAATAAAATATGTTGTAAAAAAAATTAAAGTAAACACAATAAACATTAACTGTCGTCGCATAGTAATGGATAACTAACGTTCAGATGTTCGTATATGTTCAATTCAATTTTGATTAGAGTCGAAAATTTTCTAAGTGAAATTTTGGAAACAAAAAAGATGAAAAAACTACTCATAAAAATTATGTAACCTGTTTTATTATACGGAATAAATGTAAATGAATAAATATTTCTTTATGTCTGATAATCATACTTTTGAGTAATCAACAAATTTGTACCTGAAAATTGGAGAATATAAAATGAATAATACTTTAAAATTAAGAAGTCTATTTTCGAGTAATTCACAATGATTATTGTAGTTTTATTCATTTCAACATCAAACTACCAACATTGCTCTTTCGTTGATTAGAAAATCATTATCTATAATGCCTAAGATGAGTGAGATACTAATGATTGATTTCTTTGAGCTTTTGTTTAAACTTTCGATTTATGAAGTAGGAATCCATTTGGTTGCAACTGTTAATTGTTTTAAATGGAGATCATATATGAACATTTACTGTGAACAGATGAATATTTATTGACTTTATGGAAATAAACAATTTTTTAATATCAATAATTTTTTATCTATTGATAAGCTGCTCTTAATTCTTGCTCATCACACTCATGAAATCATCATTGTTTCAAATTAATAGATGAAAACCATGGATTACTATTTTTACATCATATTTTTATCAATAGATTATTAATTGTATGGATATTATGAAAGCTTTCAATTTCGTTCTAATAGAAAGTTAGTTTTGATTTAAAATATGGTTATTTCACTAAGGTAACTTTGCTAGGTTCACTAACGAAATTTTTAAAAAAAATAGACTTTTTTTACTATTTCATATACAATTCATTTGGTAAGATCTAATTCTATTGAGAAATCTCAAATATTTCTTAAATCATCAGATAATTAATAAATACAATTGTCATAGATCGATGGATTTCTTTTTTATTTAATCAATAGCTAAAGATTCCACTACTATATATTATAAAAGTATTCCTGAATTTAAAAATGTTTAATTTCACAAACAAAAATAAATTTAAAAAAAAAAGTTTCTCTTATAAAACTAATAAAATAGTAGTGATATTTTGCCTTGTGATAGACAGAACATAACTATAAAACGATGGCTGCCGGTCATGGATGATTGCTTAGAACGTCATAATTGTCTTTCTCTCTATTTATTTTGTCAAAATCAACGATTTATTTATTCTTTCTCATTACTAAGCGTGTATACAAAAACAACTTATTACTTTATTTTTATTAACAAAAACAAATTATAATAATAATGCCACCCGAACCAGACGGACCAAGTGGATTCGAACGAATGGATTCAAATGGTAATCATGGTGGAGAAAAAAAACCATTTATGTATCGTGTCAAAACTGGTTTAACCAATTTTATGAAATCATTTCGTATTTTTCTTTATAATAAAGAACATCAAACATTTTTTGGAAATACAAGTTCATCATGGATTAAAATTTCTATATATTATTTCTTTTTCTATCTTTGTTTGGGTCTATTCTTTTCCGGTATGATTGCTGTATTTGCTGCTATTGTATCACGTGAATCACCAACATATACATATCGTCATAATCAAATGAAAGTTGGTGGAAAATTTTGTATTGGTTGGTTTTAATTAAAACTAACAACAAGAAATTCAAAGATTATTTTTTTTTTGTTTTATATCTAGGAATGGGTTTTCGACCAATGCCTGATATAACTTCAACATCACTCACTGTTTATGGCGATTCACAATCACAAAATACAACAGTATCGTCTTTGACATCTTTTCGATATAGTTATTATATTAATAAAATTATTTCATTTATGATTATTATGTGATTGTTTTTTTTTGTATAGATTTTCTTACACAATATGATACAACATATTTAGAAGAATGTAGTCCATTTAATCCAGCTTCAAAACTTCGAGGAAGTCATTCATGTAAATTTTCTTGGGATGATATTGTTACAAGTGATGGTATTTATATAATATAAATATAAATATTTTTAAATAGTCGCTTGCTTTCTTTTTCTTTGTCTTTAGCACATCCTTGTTCAACTGAAAAAATGTATGGATGGCCAATAGGTCAACCGTGTATACTTATTAAACTAAATCAAGTAAAAATAATTTTTCAGTTTTTAATCTTTTCTCAAAAATAATTGAAAATATCATTATAGAAGAATTAATCTTTATTTTTAAAGATTTATGGTTGGATGCCAGCTGATGGTAATATCATCGATGCAGTAGCCAATGCTACAGGTCAGCCAATACTTCCTATTGATCAACAGGGGCAAAATATTTATATAACTTGTGAGGGTAGAGAACAAGAAGATAAAAATAAGACTGGTAGTATGATATACTATTCAATTTTACATCCACTTGGTATTCCAAATTATGGTGGTATACCTTATTATTTTTTTCCCTATAGGTAAAATAAATTAGAAAAATTATTTTTCATCTTATATATATATATATATTGATTTATTTATTTTATTCTTTTAGAAATGCAAGAGAAGAAGTTGAACCATTTGTATTAGTACAATTTACGTCATTACCATTCGATACGAAAGTGAATATAATATGCCGTGCTTGGGCACCAGATATTCAACAATATGTTCAAGGTTCAGCACGTCGTGGAGTTGTTACATTTGATATATTGAGATCAAATAAGAGTGCTCCTGTAACAAAATAATTCAATAAAACAAAAAAAAAACATTTGAACTTTAATTAAACTATTTTTTCTATGTCTATAGTTTTGCTTTTTTTTTTGTTTTACAAATCTTATTATTACAATCTTCATTTTCTTTCATAGTATAACAATATTATTATTTTCATTTTTATATTCATATTTGTATGTTTATGTAAAGAAATCTTCTTTCTTCTAATGTCTAAGCAGTAAACGGTTGAAATATTATTGTCGTTCTTCTATAAGTGTGAAGAAAAGGTGTGCAGCAAATGGTTACGGTTGAAAGCATTTTTGTATGTACTGACGTTACTTTTTATTTATGTATATATGCATACATAGCATAGATCTAGTAGTTTTTTTTTTGTATAAAAAAAAATAAAAAAAAAACAGAACGTAAGATTTTCTTTCTTTTTTTAACCTGATCGAACAAAACAAAAGACCATGCTTTAGATAAAATGATAAATAGAGAGATACAATCAAGTGATATTACAATAGAACCAACAAATGTTAATATAGAATTACAAAAAACTGACACTAACGTTAATAATTTATTAGATAAAAATATTAAAAAAACAAAAAATTCAAGAAAATCTTTTGCAAAGTTTTTATATAATTCAAAACGAAAAACAGTACTTGGTCGTGATGCTCTTAATTGGGGTAATTCAAAAGATAAATATAATAACCATAATAATATGTATATATATATATCTATTTATATTTATATTTTAGCTAAATTATCGATTTTTTATACAATACTTTATTGCTTTTTGGGTTGCTTTTTTGTTGCTTTAACTTATGTTTTTGCTCGTATACTTGATCGTACTCAACCAAGATATTATAATACAGAAAGTACAATGGCTGTACGAAGTACAGCTGCTGTTGGTTTGTATTTGTATGATTATTTCAAAATTTATCTAAATTTCTTTTTATTTTTTTTTTCATATAGTTGGATTAGGTTTTCGACCTCAACCAGTTATTGATGAAAGTCTTATTCAAATAACAAATGATCCAATACAACAAAAACGTATTGCTTCATCTTTACGATTATTTCGAAATGTTTTTCTTTTACAAAATTCTGATGCTAAAGTCGAACAATGTTCATCACAAGAACCAGCATCTAAATTACCGCCAGGTACAGCTTGTTTATTTAATTGGTATCATATTGTTAAAAATGAAAATCATCCATGTTCGGATAATAAAATGTATGGTTTTAGTTATGAACAACCATGTATTCTTATTAAACTTAATAAAGTATTAAGATTGATTCTTTTTTTTTTTTCTAGTAATCAAAAATCAAACTATTAAATTGATTTATATTTAGGTTTATGGTTGGAAACCTGTAAAAGGCATTTTACCATTTGAGATTCAAAAACTTCGACATGTGTATAGTAATAAAAGTATATCAAATTCTGATGTATATATTACATGTGCAGGAACGGTAAGTGTGCTATAAAT